ATTGGCTGATAGGAGACGCAATACTAAGATCGAATATCACAGTATCGAGATCGAATATCACGATAACGAGAGTGAATATCGAATTACCACAATTAAGTATTTCGACAGTGAAATCGAATGTCGAGTTACCAAAATCAAGCCAAGGTACCGAGATTAAGGGAGTATAAGGTGTTTAAGGTCGGGAATATGGCTGACATATCGACGAGATCAAGATACTGGAAGGCGATCAACAACCGGTCGCAGAGATCGAGATCTATCAAGAAGACATATTGATCAAGGAGATCGACTATCCAGGGGATTAACGATTGGTTAGATCAGGGATCGGCGGTCAGTGATCGGCCAAGAAGATCGACGATCAGCGATCGGCTAAAGAGATGGACAATCGGCGATCTGTCTGAAGTGGACCACACATGCGAAGATCAATCACCGAAAAATAGAGGACACGTGGCAGAGCATCCTAGCATATAGACAGGCATAGTCACAGTCTTAGCTTTTGGTTGGTTGACATTTATCAAATTTTTATTTGCTTCCAAGTACACGCGTCAACTTCTCTTCCGGGTTGGAATATTGGCCTCCCGACGTAAAAAAAGTCACGCATACTAAAACCAAGTGATATCCCCAGATATTCCCATATTTTTTTTGTTTTACTATTTAATTATAATATAAAAATAATTATAAATTAATTATTTTTATTTTTTTGTCTTGGCTGGGGATCAATAATTCTCACCCCCAACTGCGATCGGACGCAGCAAGAACATAAAGGACAAGACACAAGATCGCGAGACGGCTCAAGTGGTCAGAGGGCTCGCGTATCGAGCATCCACACAGTGGACTCGGCGATCTCTTCGAGATCTGGGTGACTTATATTAAATACACTACAAGTACTCCGTGATCGCGCGAAGATTTCTGCCCGATCACACCAACCCATTCAAAACACGGTCATGTTTTCTTTCTACACGAGTCCACCGAGAAGAGTACAGTCCGCCGTACCGACGGGTACACAAGGTGAGGAAGGAATTACAGGACACGGAAACGGAGTACCCCGTCCGATAGTAGGTCTTCTGGGCACCAGTGGTAAGCAGGGATTGCCTCATAAGATGAGCGGTCGCCACTCCACCACAATACCTTGAGCCAAACGTCGGTTAAAATTATTAATAACACTTCGGGCAATTATGTTAGAGTCGCTTGTCCCAACCGCTTATGTTGGCGACTCCATCTGTAGGAGAAACCTGGCAAAAACTTCCTTTATCCTTGCCATATGTTTGCCCTCGCTCTTCATCTTCGGCGACCAGGTCAGATTTTCATTAATATTACAAGTCTTAAATGTCCATAGTTGATCACTGCGATGCGGTCTAATGACCTCTGTTTTATTCTTATGTACTCGGAAGAATCCGTCTTGTTACCCAAGCAATTCGAAAACCTTTCTCTAGAGTTAAGCCGGATGGGAAGATATGGAAAACCGCTTGCGGTACACGCAAAAAATCTTCATTAATGAAAAAGTCATCCGCACATCAATCATTACGGCAAGAAAGATTGGTTCAAAGCACTCTCTTCTAGAGGACTGATCCATCAGCAACTCCCAAAGTTAGTCAGTTCCAATTACTGTTATACATACTCTGTAGGCTTGTAAAGTAATCTTTACAGGTAATAATGTGTGCATTTGAACAGGCCATAGATTACCAATATATTGTTTCAGATGCTAATGCCTTTTCAACTTTTTTAAGCTTTGTCGATTTTCCGAGTATCACTTTTCGCTCGTCCATCTCTTCACGATTTCGCTCCTGCTTTCTCTTGTTATCCACAAGCCAATTGTTTTTCTCTTCGCGTTGACCACAAACTGATCGCAAGAGCGAGCATGCTTCGAATTTTATCATTTCTTTTTTTCCAAGTCCGGGCAGTCTCGTTTAAAATGTTCATTATTGCAAAAAATTAAATTTACTTCGCATTTCTCATTGGTTTCTTGTCCGTATAATTACGTGTCTTGATATCTTGGCTGGATACTTGTTGTACTCCTCGTTGTGGTTTCTAATCACTTGAGCGTTGCCTCAAGCCGAAGACATTTCCTTTCTAGTATTCATTTCGTGTTTCTGCAGTGATTATCATTTCTTGCAGTAGCTCCGGTGTGTGCCTCGTCAAATTTGTGCTGAACAAAACTTTGCGCCGCAGCTCGTGACAACATGTTTGCGCGGGCAGACTTCGCAACATGCGATCAATTATCTGTAAATCTTTTAGTGGAGAACCGAAAATCACTAGCTAAGATCAAACCTTAAAATGCTTGTGCAAATGGGAGCGTACATTTCCCTTTTCAAGCCGGTACGTCCGCTGTAGCTCGGCCTACAGCCGATACACTTTCTGCGCTGTCACCGCAGGATTACTCTTGACTTCGTAAATTTTCACAAGCTCACCCCATATTTCTGTTCCAGTGTTCTTCTTCATTACTTGCTTTGCCAGCTTAATTAAAAGCGATCCTCATATTAAAACTATAATCCTTATTGGGTTTATCTAAAAATGACCTTGTCCTCATCACTAAAATCAATTATCATGCATCCAGTGCCGATAAAAATCTGTTCGAGCAGACTTTCCTCGAACGAGTTCATCATAAATTTTTTGTTAAAAGGACAATCGTTCCTAATCTATCGTAAGGGAGTTCCTCCAGGGCCGATCGTGTATCCTTTTTGCATTTCTGCGTCCATGTCTGAACCGGACGACGCTACAATGTGTGATCTTGAGTGCCGAGAAGATTTTTCAGCACCGCATAGCTGTTGGTTGTTAGGCTCTTAACCCTAATCGAAACCGCACTTTAGTATGACACCTACACACAACTTGTTGATGGATAATTTGGAACTAAGAACAAGAAGCTGCTTATCGAATTGTCCTTGAGTCTTGTCGAAATAGCTTCCCATCCTTCTTGTCGCCTTGATTCTTATCTCTAGATATTCGCTTTGTTGCTTCGCTTCTTTTCTATGCAATTCTTGACGTCTTCAACCTTAACAACTTTAATCACTGGCTGAGGTTTCCAATAGGAACTTTGCAATGCCTGTTCTAGGTGGAAAACCGCTGTTTTGTGGACAACATCTAAAGTCCAAGGCAAACTATATGAGTAGACGACTCAGGGGAAGAACGATGTGAGTAATTTAAAAGACAAAGCGGCATTATCCGGCTAGGCAAAGAAAACTCGGCAGATCATTTTTGTAGTGGGGAAAGTTATTTTACGATTGAGGATATGTTGGACTTGTTGGGCACAAGGCCGTAATATAATATCGTGTACGAAAAAAAATCATTCAGTGAGCAAACAGCCTTTTAGTTTGAAGAACTTGGAGCTAATTTTGAGGGTCATAGATGCTCATCCCTCTGAGTAAAATACTCAGACGTCCAATTATTACACCACAAGAAAAGTGTTCATCTAATAGAGCTTTTATCAAGCACGACCAAATTAATAAACTTTCTAGCTAAGCCCATAGACGCAAAGCTGTAGGCAAGATGCGTGTTGCGAGAAGGAAGCGGTAGGTGAACAATATGATTCTGTATCTAAGCTTGCTGGTTTCTCTTTTACCGCGTACTTCTTCAAAGCCTTCCTCACCACTAATCTTGCCAAGCAGCCGTCCTGCCCTCTTACCATCGGATCGGATGAAGCTGATCGAGACAACGCGCCTAATCTAAGACCCACCTGATAACACATCCATAGATTTCCTACTCTCCTCCTCGAGTACTTATCCGTTTTAGTATTATTCTCTTTATCTCTTTCTTCTTCTTACTTTGACCTTGCGCTTCTAATTTGTACCCCTGTCTTTATCGTGCACTATCACGCGACCATCTCGCTCTCTCTCGCTCCTCCGTACTTGTGCATCCTTGAACACCCTTGATTGTCTTTAATCTTCTTTTACCCGATGCGCACGAGCGCGCCCAGTATCGAGAGATTCGTCGCGTACAACGCCTTCGTGAGGAGGTCTGCGAGCATCAGCTCCGACCTAAAGTTGCTCGCCTCGATGATGCCGCAACGCGAGTAGTCACAGAGGAACTAAAGTTGCACATCACTTGTTTCGTCTTCAGCGACAATGCCTCGCCAGCGAATTGAGCGATTGCTGCTTGGTTGTTTACCCGCAACTGCATCTGGAGCGCGACCTAAACGCTCACTCTGCGCAACATCTCGCACAGGCCGAGCATATCACGCGCAACCTCACTCTCCGCGACAAAATCCACCTGAATCTTCGACAGGGAGACGCCTCCCTGCTTCCGCGCACCCATCTGACAGCCATCCCTTTCAGCATCACGATGCCCTCCGTCATTTACTTCCTATCCTTCTTGTCGGCGTCAAAATCGGCGTTGCCGAACGCTTCCAGGCGCATCGCCACACCCGGGTTGTCATTTGGGATCATCGTGATCTTAAGCACCGCCGTACCCTCGAGATTTCACGCTGCGCGTTTATCCAGCTTCCAATCGAGGCGCGTGTACTCTTCAGGTGACCTTTTGAACCGCAAACGCTACGTCGGAGCGCGTATAACGCGACACCCGGAGCAGCGAGCCGACCAGCGACTAAAACTGGCGCACTTTCGGTCCTAAACGCGCGCTTGGCGTCCCAACAAGATCCGTGTTGCCCTCCTAAAGATCGTAGTAGCTATCTTCGATTGGTGTGCACGTCGATATGGCGTCGAAGAGCCCGTTGTCGTGCAGAAGGTCTCTGATGGCCTCCTCCTGATAGAGAGTGTACCCGCATTGACCGTCGCGCATTACGCGCGTGCCCGGGAACTTGCTCACATGCTCAAGGTCCTTGACTATAAACGACACGAGGATTAAGAAGAGCCGCTCGACCGCAGCCGCGCTCGTCTTTGTCGCGAGAAGGGCGTCGACATACACGCCTACCACAACGAGTTCGTCGACATCGCGATTTCAGTAAAAGCACATGTCTCTCTTGCACCGCGTGAAGCCGGCAACAGCAAGCTTCGAGTGCAGGATCTGGACTCAAAGCTGGCTTGCCTGTGTGAGGCTATACAGGCATTTCGCTATTCCAGAACCAGCTCGCTCGCGTTCGCAACACCTTGTGCTTGCAGCCTCTCTTCTGAGACCAGCATGTTCCGCGGCATCTGCAGGAAGATGCGGAGGTGCGGCTCCTTGTCCGCTTTGGCGTAGGCGTTGGAAACATCACAGTGATTGGCAGGCATCACCCACGTGGCCGCAAGCGCCAGGATCCTTTGACCGTTGACAGGTTCATCACGGCAGCGAAGGTGAGATTGTAGTCAACGCCAAGCACCTGCCCATTGCCACACGCCACCAGTCGCGCCCTCATCCACACGAGGCCGCCCTGCATATCCGTCTTGATCTTGAAAATTTATTTGATTTGCTGCGCGTTTGTCCCTGTCGTTCGCTTCGTAATCTTCCAGACGTCGCTGGCTTCAAGCGCGGCGATCTCCTCTTGCATTGCCTTCTCACATCCTTAGCGCTTGCCGCTGCGCATCACCTGTCCGTAGCTAAGCGGGTCGCGCTCGAAAGCAGAGTTCCCGACCTCTCTGCTCACGGCTGAATTAATCTGTCAAGCAGCCGCTTCTGCTAGTTTTGACACACCGCTTGTTCCATGCGCCGCTTGCATACATCGCTTTTCGCTCTTCTTGCGTCGCGCTATTTCTTTCTGCGCGACTACCATTCGCTGCTGCTGCTAGCGCGTCCGTCTCCTTCAAGAATCCGGCTCGATCCCCTACGTCCATCTTGCGATGAAGCTGCGCGTTTTGCGTCTCCGTCAGCGTCTTGATGTTCTTGATGTGTTTCATGACAATCACTTTGTTGTCACACGGTAGCAGCGCCTTTTAGCCCTTAATTTTCTACCTACGCTTACAATGATGGCGCGCTTCTAGCGCTGCAGTAGCGAGTTCTTGCGATGGTCCCTGTACAAGCTGCACGGGAGGTCAACAACGACGACTCCAAGCAGGTCCGGCGTCTTGCCCGTCAGCACGTCGAGTGTCGACGCCCTCTTTGCGTTTGCTAGCGTGAAGTTACGATTGATAAAGTGCACGGCGTACTGTACCACGTCTCCCCAGAACGTCAGCGGTAGAGCTCAGGCAAACCCTATGCTGCGCTCGAGGTTCAGCACTGTCCGGTGCATTCGTTTCGCCTTGCTGTTTGACGCTTGGTTATGCGCCCCCGACACCTAGTGCGCGACGCCCGTGCGCTTGCAGACCAGGTATAAGCTGGCGTATCTTCCACCGCCGTTCGTGCGGAGCACGTGGATCTTAACCCCGAAGAGCTTCTCGCAGAGAACGAGGAACGCCTCGAACTGCTTCGCCGCTGCGTCCTTCGTGTGCGCGAGGAAGACTCGGCAGTAGGTGCTTTTGTAATCAATGATGTTCACAAGGTAACGATTGTCGAGTTGATCCTAAGGCGTCATAAGAATCCTTCAGCTCCGAGCAGATGGCGCCGTCGATGCGATCGATGGGCGAGTGAACTCCTTTATCTTGTATCGACTGCGCGTTGTGCGTCTGCTTGTCCTCGAGACACAAAACGCACGCCATGCGTTTGTTGCTGCTCAGCCAATTGCACAATGCCGGGTGCGCACCATGCATTTGATCGTGTAGATTGCGAGGCGGCCGAGTCGCTAGTGCTAGTGCAACTAAGATTCTTCGTCCAGCTCGTCGGCTTTGAATATCGTAGCATGCGCTTCGAGCGCCGCCATATTGCGTTGCCGCCTGGACCCTCCTTGTTGCGCGTGGCCGTCTTTACGAAACACAACACATTGCTGTCGATCGAGACATCGGACGCGACCGCACCATCGTTACGCCGTTCGAGCGAGCGCTTGTCGACTTCGTGCAGGAGGAAAAATCATATGTTCTCGGGCTTGCCGTACTACACGATGTTCTATGCCGTTCGCGGCGCCAAGCACACATTCGTGAGCGTCAAGACCGCCTCCTAACCACGCGCGAGAACCTTGAGGCGCACGCTACCGACACGCATCGGGCGCAGCGACTTGCCGTCTGTTATCACGATCTCGTGGTTGCAAGCCTTCGAGTTGAGCAGCAGCAACTCGTCGTTGACGAGATGACGACTCGCGCCACTGTCGAGGATCTAATATCCTTGGTCGGCGCCCGAGGAATCGGTCGCCGCAAGCACGAAGCCGCGCATGCCGTCCGTGGATCGCGCTCCGTCGCTCGTCGCAAGCACAAAGCCGCATGAGTCGTCCATGACTCGCTCTCCGTCTCTTGCAGTGCTCGCTGCGGCGTTCTTGCCGCGCGAGTCCTTCTTCTTCTTGTTTCGCTTCTTCCTAGTCGCACTGCGCTTCTCGGTAAGCGCGAGGATTATGCTGACGCCATTACCCTCCGCTAATGTCTCGTCGTTGTGCACGACTCGCGCGCGACAGCCGGCCGCGATGTGACCCGGTAACCGGCATAGGTAGAACGTGATCGCGCCATTGGGTTCGCCTTCCACGTGCGCGGAGACGACCTCACGACCTATTGCGCTGCTGCCGTGCTCGATGAACTGAGCAAAGTTCGCCAGGTCATCGGCGTGGCGCGGATAGTCGAATCGCTTGGGTTCATACTTGAATCGCATCATGTTCATCAGCTCCGGTGAAGCGTGGTGGACGATGTAATCGAGAACAAGCATTTCGGCACCATCACGCACCTCGCTGAAGGCGACCATGTAAAGGATGTGCTTGGACCAGGCATGTCGTAAGTCCTTCTTGGCCATATATAACTTTATCGCCTGGATCGCTGTGTTTGACGTCTTAAACATGCGTAGGAGTTGCTCCATGATTTACTCCAGTGTGGCTGTCTGCGTCATGAGGTATCGAACTGCTTGTGATAGTACCTCTCAGACGTACCGGCGAAAAAGTGCTCAAGCAGGTCGAACTTGACGGCTTCAGTCCATCCGAAACCACACGACATTTTTTTGCGAGGCTCACTGCGGGCAGAAACGTGCGTCCCAGTCAAATTAATCCGCTCCCGAGTACGCAGTATAGCTCTCTTTCATCGAACTTGCGTATGTTCAACTTCCGCTGGCTTTCCGACGGCCTCCCATAGCCGTTGAGGCCCGAACGCACATAAGATTGCGGTAAAGAGGCTTGTTGCAGCGGCGGTGGCGCTGCTTACGCCTGTACAAGTGGCGCATGCGCTGGTACGCGCTGCTGCGGCGGCGGTGCTGCGCGCGTATGAGGTGGCTGGAGCAAAGCGAATGGCGACGCGCCAAGATCGATCGCGCGTTGATACCCGCGCGGCGCCGGTGCCTTCTCCTCCACGTCTCCGATAACGTCGATCGTCATTGGTTGACCGCGCATGTTGGCGCTGAGTTCGAGGCAAAGGGGCTGCTTTTCACGGCCCCGAGCATGCACTCCTTCTTATCTCGCACTCTTTGTAACGACTCGAGGCTAGCCAGTCGATCCGTCAATGCGGCGAGCGCGGCAAGAATCTTATCGTCTCTTTCCCGCTCGTGAGACGCGTCCAGGCGAGGCTCGCGGGACACCCCCTGTTGTCTACGTTGTTGGTTTGGTGGCTCCGATCATTAGGCTCATAACCTGTAGGCAAATTGCGTGTTGCGAGAAGGAAGCGGTAGGTGAGGTAAAAGAATCTGTATTTAAGCTTGATGTTCCCTATTCTACCGCGCTCTTCTTCAGAGCCTTCCCCACCACGTATCTTGCCAAGCAGGCGTCCTGAACGCTTACCATTTAAAGACGGAGGACGCAACTCTACACAACGCGCCAAATTTAGGACTTACTCTATAGAACATCCCTTGCTTTCCTGTAGAAGCACCATCGATATGTTCCTTTGGAGGTACAATAAGCCGAGTAATTGTTTGTACCCGGAAGGACCCGCTTCTGGCATTAGTCTTGCGCTACTTTGATAAAGTGTAAAAATTTGCATGCCTTGTATACGATTGAGAAGCTCGTCGATGCGAGACAGAATAATATTGGGAATAACAGTTGATAATTGAATAGGAGATTATCACTTACTAATTAATTTGGAACTGTCGCATTACCTGGCTCAATCCATTTTGCTGGAAAAGAGTCGTTTCGAGTTGAGGGTTCCTTGTGAAAATCCTAAAAATGTTTGATACCCTCGGAGAGTCTAAAACTTCGATCTAGCCTTTAGCGAGCTTTTTGTCACAGTTATCGTACTGCCTCTTGTACTGCGTGTGAATGTTGGAATGGTGTACGAGTGCTCGATAAGACGTTCGCCTTTTTTCTTCATCTTGAACTCGACACGCCGATGAGGTGGAAGATCACAGTAGTGTATTCGGGAGCGCGTCAGCGTAAGCCTGAACGATGTGCAACACTCTTAGATATGTAATAGCCGGAGGCTCGGTGACCTGCGATATCTTGACATGATTAAATTAATGGAATTCTGCACTTCGATTCTTGTGCTAAAAATTAAAGGAAGAAATCGGCGTGATTTCACTGTCTTAAGGTTTAGAGATTGACGCTTATCGTCTTGGGTGCGCTAGTAAGTAAGAGGTTTGTGATATAAAAAAGTTCACTCAAAATCACGTTATGCTTGTCTCACCTTCCCCTCGAGGACTTGATCTTCAACAAAGATATGTATCGCAGACTTAATATCAGATAATGCTTCGTTGAACTTTTTCTTGGTGATGATGGAGGTATAAAAACGCGTAACTCGTACCAATTTTTTCTAAATGACACATTTCAACAAAACCCAATTCGACAACAATTTAGGTTGCCCTAGTCAAGTAGCATCTGTGCAGTTTCTCCGTCGCACATCTCTGTTTTCATGATCGAGTCCTTTTCTAGGGCTTGTCGGCCTCCTCGTCCTCAATGTGATAACAACTTCATTAAAAACCCAAAAACTTCTTCAATATCAGATCTAACTACGTCGGAAAAATTGACAGCATCGCGATTTTGACAAGTGTTTTTTCTGCGACTCATGTGGTAAGGAGCTGAATTGCTACAACTGTGTAATAAAAACTTTGCTTGATGGCCATGCGCTTAAATTTTGTGGTAGCGAAAGAATGACTGCGATCGCCGTTGCTGATTGGCCTGATCACATCCAAGAGTGCAACGGAATGTCACCGTTTCCCGTTACTAGTTGTGCCTTGTCGAATCCTTAATAAAGTATTCTTATATAAGTATGCATATACAGAAATAAGTATACACTGCACCTGAGATAGCGGGTGCAGTGTGGCGTATTCCTAGTACGCTAATACGTGGGTTTAGACACTTATTGCCAATAGAATGCGATGCTTCTTTAAGTGGCTTCCATAACTTCGATACCGCTCGCACTTAAGATGAAATAAGAATATTCAAACCGGAGTTAAAATTAATTCTAAAAGCACATATTAAATACGTGAGCTCTCTTTACGCTTTCTCATAAGACCGTAAGTAAACAAATGTAGAGGAGCTCTTGATTTGTTACAGAGGGGGCGAAAAGGTCGGGCATAGTCGATCTCCATTAGCTCAGGCTGAGTATCCACCGTCAAAGGAGAGCTGTACGTCGTTTTGAGCTCCAAGTTTTTTGGCTGTGTCCTAAGTGTAGACATGTATAATATATTGCTATTGGGATCTCGTTACTCAGAATGGTATAGTGGTATTGTAGGATATTTGGCGGATAGATCCACGTTACTCGTGTAAAAGATGCATATTTTTATCAATCTTACTCGTTTCGGTGGTCTGGACTATAACTTAGAGGAAGCGACCAATATAATCGGCTAAATTTCTGCAAGATTAATGCTTAAACGAATGTTGATCGTCGCGTAGACGTGTTAAATGCTGACCGAACAAAAATATTACGGTCCAGTTCTTGTAAATAAATTATTTACGGGGGTGATGTCGGCTCGCTTGATTGAGTAATGTTACGCACCTGGTCCGCATAGTGTATTGGAAAGCACAAAAATGACTTGTTCAGGTATAGTGTCAGTACGCCAACTAATACTCTGTGCTGTGAAAACTGCTACAATTTATTGTATAATAGTCATTCCGCTTCTTGCAGACGACCAATTTAGACGTAAATAATTCTTTTATTCACATTAAATCCTCAATCAATATGAGACGCAGAAGGTGGTAGAACATCTGATGTACTGTTTCAGTCTTTAATCTAAATTGTCTATAATCTGTGTCAAAACGGGGTCGTCCATTGGGATGAGTATAGAATAGCAATAAAATGCTAAATAAAACCTTAAACAGTTGAATTTCGATTACTTGTAGACCTCTTGCGTTTCTTTGCTAAGTTCCGTAGAGCATGAAGGAGATGATGAAAGTGGGTGCGTTTGGCATCGATAAGATATTTATCGATTTCACGTAAAGAATTGGCGAGACAATCAACCTCTTCGGGCAACAATTTACTTTGGTGACTCGCGGTGCAACGCTTTTGCGACACGTATAATCTTCTTTATCGGCTCGTGCAGATTATATGCACATCTTGTACCCTCAGTTACAGTTTTTAAACAAGTATACCTTGGAACAGTCGATCTTGATGTGCGGCTGCGTTTCCTCGTTTACATACACGTTAGCTACCAAGGCCGTACTTCCTTTCACCTGACGACTATTGACTGAAAAGTTTTAGAAGTTTGAGTGAATCAAGTTACGTATTTTAAAGAACTAACACCATCAAATCGACAACAAAAAAGACGGCACGCCAGAACTTACTCACGCTCAGTGGCATTATCTGCTGAAGCAGGATGTGAGACCACCCGTGGATATCGAAGTGATACAACTCAAAGTAAATTAGTACAGCGACAGCGAGAGGTTAGAAGAGGAGAATTTACCCACGACAGCCGAAAAGTCAAGCGCCAAACCGTAGACGTCGCAGGCGGAGACATAGTGGGTGGAGAAGAAGAGTATACCAACAAGTGCTACCACTTGTAGGGGTGGAGATATACTTCTAAGTGTTGAGTTTAGCTGTCCACACTACAATCTGACAAATGATAAGCCCCTGTACTGTCAAATGCCCTTGTACTGTCTCACTCTACATCTTTTGACTTTATGATTATTTCCTAATATTTTTTTGGTGGTTTAGGTGACGTCTGTCCCTTCCATTATGACCACCTTTTAGTTTTGGTGGTTAACTGAGGTATGCCCTTTCATTAACAACCACCTGATTTCTGAATGAAGTGACGTTGTCCTCAAAAATTCCTATGACTTGGTCATTATAGGCACATGAATGAATGCAAATTTGCAATGAATTTATTGTAAGTCGAACATTGCGTAATCCTGCGTACATTGGTCCTATAGTCCGGTAAAGATGAAACCATCCCGTACCCTTAGTAGACTCGGGAATCCGTCGCTGTCGCTTTTTCGACAGAACGCCTACATCGGTCTTAGCGTGAAGATGCTGGATCTGTAATCGTGATTGGTTACGCTCTGAGATCTTGAACCTGCTGAAAATGACTATTGCATTAAGTTAGTTTAAAAATCGCTTTACGGCCTATTATCCATCAATATGTGCTTGTTTGCTCAAGTATCGGATGTCTTCACGAGGTAAAAGTATTGTGCTGTCATCAGTGGGACATGGCGTTTATAAATATGAACCTTATTCGCCGCTTTTGTCATTGTCTGGGTCGCTTGGACACGATAAATCGCATTCTAGCGGCAGACTTCGTTTTAGCCCTTTTCAACAATATGGTATTTGCGGACGGCTATAAAATAAATGGGCTATCGATGCCTCAGAAGTTTTTTGACATTCTATAATACGATAAAGATGACCCGAAAAGCGTTCTCCATATCAGAGAAAAAAAAGGACGGAAGATTTTTCCGGACATGCACATTTGGACGAGGAGTACACATTGTTCTGTATTAAATTGATCAAGGTTGTCTGATTTTGCAGTATTTCTACCGTATTTACGCAGGGCGGGTGGAAAATGTACTTAGATTCATTGGTAACGTCGCTGATTAATTAATTTTTCTCATTTAACCATTTGAAATCAGTAGAGTGTAAAATGAAGTTGTCACCTATTTTATTTACATTTAGTGTCAAGTTCAGTATTCATTAGCATTTTTCGACCTTCCTGTCACGACATGCCTCGAGGCGTTATAGATGCTTGTAAATATGATTGAATGGACTCCTCGAAGATACGATGGACATGCTTAGCCCGCTGGTAGCTCACGACTTCTATCTCTGGTAAGTCTCTTTTGATAGTCAATCGATATCACGAAAGTTTCGTCAAGAATTTGTAGCAATCCACCAAAAATCGTAACCGCTTTCAAGCAATCACACAGCTCTTTAGTTTTCACCAAGATTATGCTTTAGAACGCCGCTACTCTTCGGAAGCAATCTGCATTGATCTAGATGCGTGTGTCCGATCTCCGCCGCGAATTGGTTTCCACCACGG